GGTCCAATATATGTGTATAATGGTATATATTATTATTGTAATGTGATCATTGAGCAGGGATAAGCTCTCTTTATTGAGAAATTCATTATTCTTTTTTCTTTCTTTAGTGTTTGAGGTGTGCTGCTTTTCTTTTAAATTAGAGTGTGAAACCTAGAGTTCAAAATAAATGGAAATGAGTGTTTACACAATAACACATATATATCCATCGAAAATAAAGAAATTATTCACTGTCTTAAGAAACCAAATAGTACATCGGCTAGAATTAAATCACCATAACAATTGACCAGAATAAACCAAAAATAGCAAACTTGATGATGGTATCATCGTCTTCTTTACCAACCAACAGCTATGGCGGCTCCATTGTCGATTTCAAGAAACTTATCCATCATCGATGTCATGATAATCACATTCTTTGAATCCTTGTCGCTATATTGGCCGACCAAATTCCTCACTATGGTGGTGCTGTCCATACAGATCATGATATCATAGCTTGCAGCCTGTGCATCTTCCTTGAGTTCAGAGGCGGCGTTCTTGAGATTGCCTATAATGGTCGCAAATTCACCTTGACACCTCTCGAATTGCTTCTTCAGGTTTGGATTCTCCGTTGCCGCTTTTGCACTGGCAGCCGCAGATTTAGCGGCATAGGATATGCCAAGGCGGAGCACGGCTTGAGCCGCTTTAAACTACAAATTCAAATAATAATAACCTATATTTCATAATGGGACACTACAACAATCGTAATTAAAAAATAGTGATCTTGGTTTGATAATAATTCAATACACTTTTAAGTAAGACCATATATTGAGATGAAAATGATTCATCTATTAAAGTTTCCAAGTTAATAGATGATTCATCGAGAAACTAAAACTGTTAGATATGTACCATGGTGGTGGCAGAAGTAGCCGGAGGAAATCCGTTCAAAGTTTGGACGCAGAAGACTTTGTCAGGGACATGTTGGCAAATGGCGTCGATGTATTGTGTGGAGGCAGAGGCTAAAAAAAATTGTAGCACAAGTGCTAGAGAAACGAGGACAGAACCGTAAGAGGACGAAGAAGAAGCCATGACCCCTCGTTAATATTCAGATTTTGTTATATTCGTCAATTGTGTGTGGGTATATCTTTATATATTACTACGCACGCTTATTAGATACACCGTTACGCCATCTCCTCAACTTCAACATTGGTAATATATTAGAATTCAATTCAGCTTTTGAATTCTAGATTTTAACTCTCTATACATAAATTAAATAATACAGATGGATATGGTCAATCTTTATTTTTTTGTTTTTGGGGAGAATTTGGTGAATGTCCATAAAATATAACTTGCATTCAGTCAATGGCAAATCTCCTCAATATAATTATGGCC